ATTATAGGAGATAATGATCTAGTATTGCCTAGATCAAATACATGACCTATCTAAAATATACATGTCTTGGGCACTTTCCTGATATTTATTTCTAAGATGAGATATCGGACATGCAAAGAAAGGGGGATACATTAAACAATGGACAAAAAACTTCAATAGAACTCTTAAAAAAGCAAGAAAACTTTATGTAGTTGTGCATTTTTTTATTTCAAACATAAATAATTCACAATGATGGAATTCTCTCATTCATGTATTCACAATGACAAATCATAAAATATTGACAAGATATTCCTCTTCAGGACTTTGTGTCTCCTTATAATTCATCCTTGTCTCAGTTTGTAAATGGTTAACAGTTAACTTTCACTGTCATTTCTCAAATTTCCCAATATTCTAAAAATCTATTTCAGTGTTGACATAGATATTTTTTTTCAATTTTGTTATCAGATGCTTTAAAATAAATTCAAAAGCCTTTTTTGTAGAGTATAACTTTTCCAGATAAATTAAAATGATTTATCATATCAAATTTCCAAATTGTAGAATTGGACATTTAAAGACCTTCCCCAATCTGAGACATATTTCATTCAGTCTACTAGCTCAACATGAAATAAAATGCTCTGCAAACTCAAGGCCAAAGAAAAAAAAATTGTTAACTCTCTAGTACCAAACTAGTCTATTAAAAGTTAACTTTGTTGGCTATTTTATTTAGGACAAATCATAAAGAATGGAACACTTCTTAGCCTTAGCAGATTTAACTTTGTGTCTATGAAATTCTGGCGGAAAATAAAAGTAATTCTACCTACCTTCTCCGTCTATCTTTTTTTTTTTTCAAACAGTCAATACAAGCTAAAGATTAATTTTGTTTGGCCTTTGAATTTTTTACACAAACAATCAATACAAATACAAGTGTCTGCAATCAACTAATACAAGTGTCTGCAATCAACTAATACAATTCCCAGCAAAAATAAATAGCACTAGTTGTATAAAAAAATCTATACATAAAGCATGGAAATAAATGAGTTCATACGTAATTCAAATAAGCACTTTTGATACTAATGTGAAAGATTAATAGACCATTACTATTTATTATGATAAATGATATAAGTCCTTTCCACCATTGAAGAACAAATTTGCACAATTTATCTACTTATTCAATTAAAAAAATGCAAGGAAATACACATGTATAATATCATGTCTCTTCTGGGAAAAAAACAATCGTATTACGTAAAAAAACATTGTCTGCCTGCTCACTATTACTTTTGAAAAAAACCCTTTGATTATGACTTTACTGCAGAATATCGTGACCTTTTTTTTTTCCGGTGCAAAATGATGCTATCTTAAATCAGCAGAAATGAAAATTAACTTTAACACGGTACAATTCAAAATAACACTGACTTTTTTCTAATATTATTTAACAAACCTTAACAGGTCCTGTTTCAAACTATTGAAAAAAGAAAAAATCCTTGGCATCTTCATTTTTATATAGTGTGGTTAGCCAAAACAGAATCTTCTTTAAACTAAAACAATCCATAATAAGAAACTGGACACAGCATGTCAAGATTTACCAGCATGTTGCATCGGAACATATGACTTGCAAATACTGTTATCATCTACTTTGTGAAAGGCTATTTAATTTATCTGAAGGATTACAGATGAATAAATTTCTTAGTATGAACAATCAAACAAAAAATTAAAAGACTAGTAATTTGATAGCAATATTAATCTTTGAATTGTAAAAATGTAATTTGAATAATTTCAATGTTAAATGCAACATTTTTAATAGTTTCGTAAACAATTTTCTCAAAAATCAGGACTGTTTTAGTATTGGTGAAAATCTTTTAAGCAGAATAAAAATTCATAATTTGAGGCTTCACCTGAAAACTGTTACCATTATTACATTATAACTATAATATGAAAGACAATCAGAGTACATTTTTCCCTTCTGTCTTTTGATTCTTTTTTTAGCCGAATTTTAATTGAGAATTGGTGGTCCATCTGAAAATTGTTAACATTATATGCAAGTCAATATACTTTTATCTATATTTAATCTTTTAACTCAAGATAATTGTAAAATTATACTCATCGCATAAATAAATAGAAAATGTGTATGCTGGTTTGAACTGATTTACACCTGAACAAATAACAATAACCTGAGTTATGTCATAAGAGATTGAAAACAATGAATATCTACAAAGTAATTCTTAATATTGACTGGTTCGCTATAAATCGAAGGGCTGTTACATTTAGACCATTTAGGTACACAGGGGAGGCACTTTACCACCTGTAGAGGCAAATTAAACATTTAAACTTTCCCCACTCACAGTTGAGATTTCAAAGCGTCTTTCCTTGAACCCGTGAATGTTTCTATGGATCAACCCTAATGTTGCTTGCAATGCAATTATGATTTTAAGACCATTGCTTTAAATTTGCTATCTATGCATTTTCAGGGTATAAAATATGAATATTTCTTTAATGAAAATTTGTAAAATGTTGTCTTTAATTGCACAATATTAATATATATTATTATTTCAACCAGAATTCAAATCTAATAAAAATATATGTATAACTGAAGTACAGTCATTGTATTCATTACCAAAGTTTTTTATCGTATATATATGGGTCTTCAACTTAAATTTTGTAGCGTTCCCCCTTTTTTTCAAAAACTGACTGTGACAACACAGCTCAGGGTAAAATTTATATTGAATTGACCATGCGATCAGTTAACTAATATTTATAATATGGAGGCAATGACCAGAACTGGTTTCTAGAAGACTTTTTCAAGCTGCTACAGTATTTCGTATCTTGATTATACAATTGCTGTAATCATGTAACTAAAAAAAGAAGCATTAATTTAAAATGAAAGTATTCATTGGTCATCTTTGTCTTAAGGGGTCCTACATCATGCCGGACATTAAGCTTACTACTTGTATTATAAAACGTAACCCGGACCTTTTTTATCTTTACCCTAAACCTTGTCTTAACCAAACTGTAAACTAAACGCACCCCTAACCCTTAAGTCAAAGACAACCTAGAGAGATCACAGATTCTAAACAATGAATATGTACAAGATGAGGATATGAGCAAATCTGTGACAATAACAATGTCTTGAGAATTAATTCCTCGTGTGTCTGGTTTTAATGTCGTTGCAATGAAATTTACAGCCTTTTATTCCAATCGTCTTTTTTAGGCCACAAATTGGTAAGATTCCTGAAAATGATATCTGAAAAAGAAATAAGATGTTATAAACATTCAAGAGCCTGTAGTTCAGCGGTTTATAGCAGTACTTGTTTTTCGTAAATTGTTTGGTTTTAAATTAGGCCATTTGATTTTCACATTTCCATGTCATGGTCTTTTATAGCTGACTAAACGGGATAAAAAATGGGATTGTATTATTGTTGAAGATCCCACAGTGACCTGTATTATTTCCATGTCATTTGAACATGGTGGATACTTGTCTCATTGGCAATTACTGTTGATTCATTATAATTCGTGGCTACCAATTTTCATGGGTAAAGGTGAATCACAATTTAAATGTTCAAGGAAGTAGAAATTTTCTATAGGCTTGTATGCAGACTTTGACAAAACCTTCAAAACAAATATGCACAAAAATACAATTATTCCTCATTCTTTGAAAAATGGTACACGAGTATACCACATCTCCTTATTTGTATGTGTCATATGAAACTACCTTAAATATATGTTTGAATGAATCCTAAATACCCTGACATATTAAAAGACAAATGTTAAATTTTCTAATGTCTCTATAACAATGTATAAGAAAGAAACAAACATCAAAATTTTACAATAAAATTATCCTTCAACTTTTCTGGGACTATTGAATTAGAACGCGGAGTGAGTTATCGTTCGTGATTACAAAATCGAGGGCGCTACGATCGCATTGGTCCCTAGGATAAACAATATGGCGCTGTTGTGTACGGAGCATTGTGTAGACATTTAAATAGTTATGCCTAAGACACATTGTGTTGTGCCTGCATGTACCAACAGTGGAGATCACATTTTGCCTGTTGATAAAGAACGTCGGAAGGCATGGATAATTGCTATCCGGAGAGGGAAAACGCGATTGATTCCAAAGCTGGAATCCACCGAGCAAATACGTCTACGTTTGTCGAAGTCATTTCAGAGAGGAGGATTACATCACTACGACATACCATGGTAAAAATGTTATGAAATTTATTATGTCTCAAAAACATAATAGCATCTCCTGATTGTGGTACCATATTACAAACCCCTCCCCTTCACAGGTTTGGAAAGATCCTGTTATTTAATGAAATAATGAGTATTATCCCTATATTTAATAAAACCTGGGACTATTTTTAGTCCTAGATAAAATATGTTATGCCCAAACTCAGGTACATATGAAATTGACAGTGATATAAAATTTAAGGCTTCATTTTGCCCAAGACAGGGACACTAAAGCTCCTGACATTCAAGATATACATGTACATCATATATTGTTTGATCAGGAACATATATATTGACTGTTCCAAGTTGATACATAATAAATTTAATTATTTATTTTTCCTTCATTGACCTTTCATTTACATGAATACAGGTACTGCATGTAAAACGGTTTTAAACCAAATATTTTTCAATATTAAAGATGAAAAGTATTAATAATAATGAGGGCAAAAGACCCTGTGGCATATCGAACCATACCTACTATGCTGCACACTTAAAGATCCCATATTTCATTGCAAAAAGATCTGAACATTACTTAATCTTATTCTTTTTCAGGAACATTGGCAGAGCGGAAAACCCTTAAGAAAACAGCAATCCCAAGCATTTTCGAATGGACTTAAGAAACTCCAAAATCAATAAATGATATGAAAAGAGACAAAAGACATAAAGACCGGTTACTTGAAAAAAGAAATTTATTGATAGAATTTAAAAATTCATGCTTAGACATAAATAGTAATGAAATTATAAATGAGGAGAATGCACTTGTTCTTAAAAGTGATTAGTAGTAGGAAATGAAGAAATAATTACAGATTGTTCAGATATTATTGTTAATGAATCAGAATTGATGGATACTAGTATTCCTGTGGAAAAACATGTGTCAGTAGCTTCACAAACACTAAAACACAGAATGTTTTCTGCTGAAAATTTCAGAAATGACACAGCTGGATTGCATTTTTACACAGGAGTTGAAAATATTGAGAAATTTTTCTTTATTTTATACACACTTGGACCTTCAGCCTTTTGCCTACAATGTATTTTTCACAATGTTGTGAACATTAGTGTTCCTAATCAATTTTTCTTGGTTCTAATGAAATTAAGGCGACATACCACTAACTTTGAACAGTCAAGAATGTTTGAAACGTCTGAAAAGGCCGTGCAGAATATTATAATTACATGGATCAACTTTATGGCTAAGCAGTGGGGTGAAATAAACATTTGGCCATCAGGTGATCTCGTAAGATATTATGCACCAACCAGATTTAAAAAAAAATTCCCGAGTACTCGAGTAATAGTAGACGGCACAGAATTTCCTATAAAAAAACCTAAAAATCCAAAATCACAACAGAAAACTTTCTCCACTTACAAAAACAGGAATACTGTAAAGGTTCTTGTAGGCTCTACACCTGGTGGATTGGTTTCATTTATTTCACCAGCATATGGCGGAAGTGCGAGTGATCGTCAAATAACGGAGCGCAGTTCTTTAATGACCTGTTGTGATCCGTATGATAGCATAATGGCAGACAGAGGTTTCAGTGTACAAGACCTCTTTGCAACTCAAAATGTTGCCATCAATATGCCTACATTCTTTAAAAAGAAAAACAGATTGACTGGAGAAACTGTAATAAAAGATAGAAAAATTTCGAGCAAAAGGGTTCACATAGAGCGAATAATTGGGCTGGCAAAAACTTTTAAAATTTTAACTGAACCAATGACAGCAACAGAAACAAATCTGTCAACTGAAATAACTTTTGTGTGTTTCTTTTTGTGCAATTTCAGAAAATGCATAGTTTCCAAGAATGCTTGAATAACTTGTATAGTTCTTCTAAGTAAATAATAAGTTTATATTTTCTTGTGTGACTTTATACAAATACATTTAACAATCAATCAATCATATACAAGGTTGGGCGATAAATACCGCCCCTGGTATTTACCGGTGGTATTAACCGCCCCGGACAATACTCCTCAAGTGGTCAATACTGGCAAATACTGGTCGATTGAAATTTTCATGGTGGTTTTTACTATTTATTGAAGTAAAAAAATGATAAAAAGTAAGATATATTTAAACTTTTATCTTTTGGCATGTTTCAGCTGATATAAATGAATTTGATATGTTTTATTCATTTTTAACATGTTTAACACATTTACCTACTAATTTAGTCCTTATAACATGTATAAGTTATGATATTGCATATTTTAGATAAATATAAAGAATTGACAAATTGATTATTACAACATTTTTCAATCAAGATATTTTTTATTGAAAATGCAAAATTTTTACAGGTTCATAAAACTACAGGTAAATGAAGTTACAGGTGTCTTATTACCTATCACCTGGCATTACTAGGTGTGATAATTTAACTACTATACAAACAACAGCCCCCAATAAATGATGACAAAACATGGTTGAAAGTAATAAAAGTGATATTTGAAGACTCACTTAAACAATAAAATATTTCCTGTCTAGTTAAATGTGAGACAAAAATCATCTTTATGCAGGAAATGGAAGGTATCAAGGACCTTTACTCTTATGGCTTAACTGTAATTTATGTTTTAAACCAACAAATATATAATGTAGTTTAACTTTTACCCTTACATAATCAATTTTTACATACACATAGTACAACCATCTTGACCTTAAGCACCAAACTGAAGCCTGAAGACCCTATTTGGAACTTTTATACAATATAAGACAACAACAAATCAGTTCAAAATGTAATGATTGCAATGCTATAGTCAGTTTCCTTGCCAGGGACGAAACATTTTTATCTTATGTACTAATTATACATTGTAAATCACTGTTTATTAAGAATTTACAATAAAATTAGAAATGAGAACATTTAAAATGACTTTAACACTTTCATTATTTCATTACTAAAAGTAATTGACCAGGTAGAGAGTGGTTTTTATAGTAATGTCCACTAAAATTTCAATCGACCAGTATTTGCCAGTATTTCCCGGTATTTACCGGTATTTACCGCCGGCATGGTCAATACTAGTATTGACCGCTTTTTTGCCAACCTTGATCATATAAAAATAAGATGTGGTATGATCACCAATTTTGCAAGACAACTATATTATATATATATATTTTGGAATTATTTGAGATGTGTGCAAGACCTTACAAGTATTCTGATTTGTGTAAGAACACATTATTTTAACCAGAATAAAAATCAAAGTGATGGAAATCACACATGGAAAGATTGGAAGAGTAGTTTGAACAATTTAAAATTATATTTAGATATGATATAAACAAAAAAGAACAATAATATAGCACTTTTTCAGTAAGTAAAATGAGCTAATGTGAATCAATGATAGCGGGTCCCTTAATTTGTACAACAATTTGTTTAAATTGCAATTTCATATCCTTACCAAATGATATTTCCTGTTACATGTTTAAGCTTTTATAATTTTTTCAGAATTATATTGTCTTCACAAAATAATCTAAAAAGGTTGTTTTGGGGGCATGTTAGTTGAAACATAGGTATACTATTTTTCACCTCTAAGAATTGCTTATTGAGTTTGAAAACTATCATCATGATTATGTTCCACTGAAGATTAAAAGTTGTAGAGAGTATTTTAATTCAACTTCTAATTTAATATTTTCCAGAAAATGGCATTGAAAATGATATTTTCCGACATTAACAAATTAAAAAACTTATTATATTGCCAATCTTTGATAAGTGTTACCTATATTATTGATTAATCAAAGATGAGGATTGCACAGATTTATCAAGTAAAATAAAGACCTTTCTTGAATACCTTTTTTTATATAGATTTCATATTTTGTCTTTTCTTATATCATTTCTATATATATGTATATACATTTGTGTATTCAATAATGAGGTAAAGTATTTGTGTATTGAGATGAATGGTCTGTTTAATTATGTAAGACTGAGGATGATTAGTAATTTTGTCAATATGATTGGTACTTTAGGAGGTGGGACATTGTAATTAAGGCCTCGCCTTTTTCACAAACAGTTTTAATGACAATCTAGTATGCCATCTTTGTGTATTTATGTTCTGGTATCTAGTGCTGACATTTCATCTAGCTACTTCGTTTTGTGTAATCATGCCAGTGCTTGTCATGATTGATTTACTGTATCTTTGTTTTAAAAGTTATTGATATGCATACTTATGTACATGTGCAAATATATCATCTGAGAATAAAATTATGTTAATACCCATGATTCTTGACTTATCTTGTAAAACAGTGTTTTGTATTTACCAGAAAACAAACGACATAAACAGTTACAATGGTCAATAACATCGTACATCACAGAAATGCTGATACTTACTTCTTTCTGCTTTGTTTCAACCAAAAGAAAAGAAGTAAAAAAAAACAAGCGGCATTTCTAAGGTTTTCATCAGTATTCATTTGATTTTTAAGTTGGGCGAGTTGGTAGGCCTTAATTCAGTATGGTTTAGTTCTTTTTTTGTTTCATAAGTGTGGCGAGTTGGCAGACCTTTATTCATCGTGATTTAACTACCTTATTACATGTAAAAGGAAGTATTTTAGAAAATTCAGAAACAATCGGATTAGCTCATTTATTTCATTTGTTGGTCATTATTTTTTGTGTTATATCATTTGAATGACATTTCAATTGTATTTTGAAATATATTATCAGGAAATACTATTGATAGTCTTTTTAAGAAAAATTCATGGAAGACATAGATTTGTTGGAAATTTACACATGGCCTGGGCCGTGATATTCGAATTTTATCCTGAGCGTTACAACAAATCTATGGCTTCCATGAATTATTTCGATTCTAATAGGACAAATACGGTCATTAAAAAACTGAAGCGATGGTGGGTATGCCATGTGTGTGGCTGTTCTACCTTACCCCTGTTAGAAAAATCTAAAAAATTCCAATAAATATGTAGCTTGCATGAATTATTTGTTGAATAACCGCTAGAAAAAATGTGTTTATTTCTTTTAATTCTCAAACCCAACATTTGACATTATTGATTTACATTTTTATCTCGTAAGCTACCGTCAAATCCACTGCTGACATTTTGTAACTAAGGAGCCGCCATGTTGAATGAAATCAGTAAATGTGCGAATAATAGAAAATAAAACAACACCTACTTCAAAACTCCATTTTAATGCAATATTATCCGAATTTGGATGGTTAACGCAACGGAAAGACCTTCAGCTTTGGCATTTTCATTCGTATGACGTCGTGTTTTAAAATGACTTTAATGCGCCAAAAACATAAATGGAAATTCGCGGAATTCTATTTTATTTAGATTTTTTACATTTTCCGAGCTTTAATGCAATAATTCTTTTTGTTATGCCTCATAATAAGAATAAAGGTTCTGTAGTGTTTACTTTACACTGATATAGAGTTTGGTTATCCATGGTCACTTAACACAGATATTGACTTTGGTTACAATGGTCACATTATACACTGGTCACTTTAAAGTGATATCGGCTTCGGTAACGTCTGTTCTCATTAAAAAGATATTAACCTTGGTTACATTTCGTTCCATCACACTGATATTGACTTAAGTGATAATTGGTCATCTTATACAGGTATTGACTTTGATAAACTCTGGTCACCTTCCTTGATATTGACTAAGGTTACCTCTGGTCATTTTACAAAGATAGATACTTTGGTTACATTTGGTCACCTGACATAAATATTTACTTTGGTTCCCTCTGGTCATCTTAGACAGATATTAACTTTGGTTACCAATGGTCAACTTACAAATATAAACTTTGGTTACCCATGGTCAACGTACCCAGTCATCAAACATAGATTGAATTTGGTTATCTTTGGTCAACTTACACAAATATTGCAATTTTGTTATCTCTCGTCTCCATACATATGTATATAGTAACTTTTGTTGAAACATTGGTCACTTACAACACATATATTGAATTTCAATGGTTACCTTGTTGGTGAACCTACACAGATATTGGACTTGTGATTACCCTGGTCTTCCAACACCTACACAAATTGAATTTGGTTATCTCTGGTCACAATACACTTGCAAATATTGACATTTGTTCAAACTCCGATCAGTTGAAACAGATATTGACTTTTGTTCAATCTTCGATCACTTGAAAGAAATATTGACTTTAATTGATTAATCCTTGTTAATCGTTAACACATATAAAGTTGGCTTTTCTTGATCATGGTTGCTTTACCAGGTTACAACCAATCATACCGATATATCCATATGTTACTTTTGCTACCCTCAATTTAAAAGAAAACAATCTTAATTTAATTCTGTTTCAAGTATGAGTTTTCACACTATATTTATTGAAATTGATAACTAGTCGGATTCATCTTAAGCGTTTCTTGAAGATCTTTGAACAGAAATTTCTGATGAGAAATTTGGAGCAGCCTATTGAAATACTCTTGTAAAGTATCAGATTTGCTAAACTTGAATGTTAACATTTGTAGATCATCCAATACCATCAAGAAATCAAAACAAATATGGAAATGATAAGTAGTTTTAACTGGCAAACAGTGCATGAGCCTTTTATTATAGATAAAGTCATATAAGTTTACCAAAATGTGTTTGGTCACTTCATATTTAGCATAATAACATGAATAAGATAGTTTCTTATAAATGAATCGATTACAAAACTAGGTCATAATATTTTTTATTACTCATTTTGCAGAAGACTACAGAAATAGAAAATTACACTCATAATAGTATAAAGATTCAGCCATACATTAACCCATTATATTGTAGGTAACAATAATGTATTAATTTCTATTAAAATGATAAAATAAATCAGACAAATTTGCCTGCAAAAGAAGTAAGCGATTTGAGGAACAGCTGTATGCTTTAAGTATTTTTTTCTTTTCGTTTAGTTTTTCTTTTGTAAATGTTGTATTTCTTTCCGTATCACTTAAGACTTTCGTATTTGTGTGTGTCAGCAGTCGTATGATTCAAATCTTCATAGACATTTGGAACTCTGAGACTAGACATATTTACATATTGGTGAACATGAATTGTATCACTTCCAGAATTGTCACTGACAAAAGTATTATCAATCCCGATATTACAATTTCCCAATCCATTCTGATTATTAGAAATAGTTTCATTATTAGCAGACATTTTACGGTTTTCATTTGTATTGAAAATATTCGTGTTTACGTATAAATGGCTCAATGTTATATTACTTTCACTGCTGCTTGTAGATGATGAAATAGGTATATTTTCCAAAACTATTTCTTCTTCAGTAATTGGTTGATTGCTGGTTTCAATATTGCCATTATGCAGGTTAACTTCGTGATAAAAGACACTTTCGATTTCTTCATATTCGTTATCTACAGAAATAGTTTCCTGGTCATCAGATATTTCAGAGTAAATGCTACAATAGATAAACGCACAAGAGCGATCAAACAAGTTGAGATATATAAACACAATATGATGGTGCCAAGGGGACGTCTCCATCTAAAAACGTATAATTAACCAACTGATTTATCGTACATTTTAGTAACAAGCTTCCCGTTAGAGATAAAGATAGCAAGATCCACGAAAGGGCAGTGTTCGTTGTTGGTTTTAGCTTTTTCTAAAGTAAGTTCAACAGTATAGATCTCTTTATTGTACATACTGAAGTCTTCTTTATTAAGAGCCAAAATATCATCCAAATATCTAAAATTGTTATCACATTTTTGTATCAGTTTGGTCATCGCTGATGTAAAACATAAATTATGATTCGTAGCAATATCCAGAAACAGGTCAGCAAAAAGTGGTGAACGATTAGTCCCTATTGGAATTCCAATAACTTGGCGTTATACGTAATCTCCATTGCGAGCACAGATGTTTTATAAAGAGCATTTATCTCCAGTGATGCTATTTGTATTTTTTTTATTTGATTTATTTGAAAACGTATATAGTTCTTTACTTACAAAAATGAACCCAACTTTTTCAATGTTTATTTCATTTTTTTCCAGTTCCAATGCTTTATTGTTATTCAATAGGTCAAACAAACAAAAAATGAGAATGAAAGAAACTGAGATTGAACATGTGAACTCCAAAAATGTACTCATGGATTACTAAAAATTTCTGAGTCGGAGATAGACAATATATAGACAAAAAAGGAATGACGAAATATTAACTTCGTTTCAAAATTCTTAGCATTGAGCAACATAAACCAACGCAAAATGTTCAGCTTATCACAGGTGGTTACGAATAGTAAGCGTTTTAATTTTAACTTGACTAAATATACCATAATGGTACTGATATTCGAAAGTGATTTATAGCAGCTTCGTAATGTGAAGTTTATTCAACGTAGTCCTTAATGGTTGAATCATTTTTTAATTTCAACGTCAAAGAATATTTACTTACTTCATTTTTTCTCGTTTACTATATCGCTTCCTGACAGTGAAACACAGGACAAGAACAACGACTTCATAAAAGACTGGAATTGCATATGCACCATTTACTAAAATAAAACAGAACAAAGATATAAAAGGTTGCTTTCAAATTGCCTTTTTGTGTCAGTCTCAATATAAATTGTTATATCAACTCATTTATTGACAAAATGGTACATGATAATGACCTTTGAGTTGTTTAACCGTCCGTCTTTTCTTTAGATCTTTTGTCAAATACGAAGTTGAAAAGCATTGAGGACAAAAACATTAACTTTTCCAGTTCTAAAAGACGAAAAGATATCTTGTGTCGATAGCTCCATCTTAAATGTTGATACTGATGAAAATGTGTGCACCTCTTTTTCTGTTTTTTTTTTTTTTTTCATTATTGGGAGATGAAGGTAAGGTAGCAATAAAATTGAGAATGGAAATGGGGAATGTGTCAAAGAGACAACAACTCGACCAAAGAGCAGAAAACAGCCCAAAGCCACCAATGGGTCTTCAACACAGCGAGAAAATTCCGCACCCGGAGGCGGGCTTCAGCTGGCCCCTAAATAAAAATGTGTACTAGTTCAGTGAAAATGGACGTCACACTAAACTCCGATACATATAAATGAACTAAAATAAAAAAAAAAAACATTCAAGACTAACAAAGGCCACAGGCTCCTGACTTGGGACAGGCGCAAAAATGCAGCGGGGTTAAACATTTTTCTGAGTTCTCAACCCTCCCCCTATACCTCTAGCCAATGTTGACAAAACATGTTGAACCCTGCCGCATCCCCATTTCTATTCTCAATTTTATCTCCCTTCTGAATAAGTCTGTTTAAAGGTTTGGTTAGCTTTTGAGGTGAGTGACGACATTTTTGTGCTTTGTATAGAATATTACCACAAAAGATTAGATGTGAAATACCTGAACATATAAGATGTCGGCATGTTGATTTATGTTTACGAATGATGGCCTTGTACCGATGATAAAATCTAGTAAATGTTTTGATTAGTTTGTGATATCGAAAAACCCTGGTGTAAAATTTTTTCAGTAATACAGAGATTTCGTTCGTTAAAATCAAATACGTTGTTACATACACGAACGAATCGAACAAGTTGAGATATATAAACACCATAAGATGGTGACAAGGGAACGTCACCGACTAAAAAAGGGTAATTAACAATAGGAAATGAAAAATCATCTCTTTTATCGTAAGTTTTGGTATTAAGCTTCCCGTTAAAGATATGGATATCAAGTTCCAGGAAAGGGCAGTGTTCCTTGTTAGTATTAGCTTTATTTAAAGTCAGTCCAGCAGGGTAAATCTCTTTAGTGTACACACTGAAGTCGTCATTATTGAGAGCCAATGTATCATCTAAATATCTAAAAGTTTTATTAAATTTTTGTATCAGATGTTGTTTCGATGGGTCTTTACTGATTTTAGTCATAAAATACAGAAACAGGTCCGCAATAAGTGGTGCACAGTTAGTCCCCATTGAAATTCCGATCAGTTGACGATATACGGAATCTCCATAGCGAACAAAAATGTTATCTAGTAAAATTTCAAGTGCAGTTATCGTATCAATCAGATTGACATAGTTGTTTTGTTTGTTGTTACTAAAAATTAACCTAAAAGAGTTTGAACATATATACTCGCATTGTGACTTTTTAAATGCCCATTTAATTATGTGTGTGATTTTTTTCTTAATGAGATTATGAGGCAAAGTGGTATATAGGATAGAAAAATCAAAACTTTAAACAGATTCGAAATCACCAATATAAGCATGCAATTTAAAGTACTTCCAACACATTTTTGACACTCAAAAAGTAATTAATTCCACTATTTTCAAAAACCTTATTTGAACAATTTATTACCAGGTTTTTTATTGTACCAAGTGAACTAGTAAGTAGAATAGACAGTTTAGAAGTGAAACAATAGCTTCAAGACGTAATAAATATATATTTGTAAGGTGTTTTGTGCAGTTTCGGAAGCCCGTACATAGTTCGAACTTTCATCGTATTTGGTTCTGCTTGTTAAGAGGTAGCTAAAAGTTTATGTTTGTTACAGATGTCATTTTCCGAAAATGGGGTCAGTTTGAATGTTGGTGAATTCGTGATTTCCTTTTGCAGAGCCTCATTGTAAAATTTACGTCAAACGATAATGATATTATTGGCAGCCTTATCAGCCAGGACAAAAAAAAAATTCTTCGACGAGTTCGTTTAGCTTATGTTTGATATGAGAAATAAGGATATTATGGCTGTTGTGAGGATAAAATGTTCTTTAAAATGTTTAATACGAATATCAACTATGTTCATTACTGAATTAAAAAAAAAGAATCTAAGGATTTCTTGCAGTAAGCACGGAGTGAGTCGTGAATGATATTATGACACTCAGGGGGCGATATTTAGGTTAAGGAATGATTTCAACTCTCGGTCATAGACGATGCTAAGGACTCCTGTTATAACATGGAAACTGGGGCCATAAATGTACTTTGAATTACTGCAATTTCATGACGTAGGTGTATTGTCACTGATATTAACATCTTTACACACTTCGTTATAAGTAAACACATATTTCCAGGTAGATTTTTTGTAAACATAACAAATAAGAGGGAGCTCCGTATTATCAAAATAGCCAGGAATTTGTTCTTTAACGGAATGATCACTAAAATACCGGCAATATTTACAAAATCAAAACATTTATTGTCATATTTGATTTTAATAAAATGTTTTTTATGATCTTCAGGGCGATCAATTTTGGGAAACAATTAAGAATAACAATATGCAATTATAATTTGGACGATTTTATACTTAGGACTGCAATATGGAATAGTGTTGCAATCCTCTAAAATTTGATGTAATTTATTAACAGGTAAAGAACAGAGCTTGGTTAACAGATAATGTCTGCCGTTGTTTTTTGAAATAATAATTAGGTCCGAAATATTTGTATTGATTTTGAGAAATTAAACATTCAAAACATATTAAAACAATGAAATTTTTAAATTATATGAATAATAAAAATTATTATAAATGATCATTTTTATTATTAATATTAATAATGGTAGCAGTAGTTGAAGGATGAAGCAGAGCATTAAAAGGATCAGCACTACCAGTAGCAGTAGTAGCAGTAGTGATGGTAGTAGTGGTAGTAGTAGTAGCAATACAATTCAATTATTACTCTTATTCTTACTTGGTGCAGTAAAATTGGTAACGTAAAAGTTATAACTTCTATCAAAATATGATAACTGCTACCTTAAACATATAAATTACCTGAGAAAATCTTCCGTGATTCCGGCTCTGCTGTTGGCAGTGATTTGTTCGCTGTAGTAAAGAAAAATGCGATGTATATGAATATATAGGTCGATAAAGTAAGCATTAATTTTTTTTTTTAAATCCAAATGACAATATTCCGTAAAAATGTAAGATCTATGATCAGAAAAAATAAGTAAATGATCCCAAAATAATAAACTCTGTTTATATATTTTAATGATTCAGCTCTGATAGGAATCAAAATAATTAACAAGTAACAACGCATTTAATTAATTAATTTAATAATCATATTAAGGAAACAGCTATGCGCCTTATCTTTTTCGTGTTTACGAACCTTTATTTATTTGATGATATTTCTGCATTGAAAGTCTATCATAAATCATGTACGATCAATTTGAAAATATATAATTTACTTGTGGGTTCGATTTACGTGATAGTTAAGCAAAAAAGCTTTAAAAAAATATTTGTGGCTTTTCTGCGAAAGCTATGACAAAAAAAGAAAACTCTTATATAAATCAAATTAGGATCTTCTAGTTCATAAAACGATTACAAAATACTCGTTTCGTTTTAATCCATGTCTCAAATAAATTGCCTTTTATACATATAATTCAATTTTGAAACAAACATGGTCGAAGAAAAGCATTTTTTGAAGATTTGAATATTTCTGTTAAATAGGTTAAAACATCAAAATATATTTTTTTTAAAAGAAGTATTCACAACAGGAAAGTCAAATAATCGTTGCAAAATGTCCTTTCATCTTTTTTAGAAAAAGAGATGTTCCTTTTGACTATTTCTTATTGTGAGCCTATTGAATATGATGGTAAGCTCTTGTCTGCAATATCGTTTTTAACTTCAACGAACGTAGCATATGTAAAACTGAAAAATAATTTACTAGTAATCAAGTATTTCGTTCCCACAAATTATTAAAAAACATTTTTTTATGAATGAAACTCTTTGGTTTGGACGTTTACATATCTACAAAATATAAGCAAACAATGTGTAAACTCACAGTGTACATCAAACGGTTCAGTTTCTACATACATTCCTGCTACATTGGCTTGTGATTCTTCAAAACAGCGGAATTTCACTTTTAAATCGTCTGCAGATATTTGAACTGTCAGGTTGCTTGTGCCTTTGAACGAACATCTACCAGGTATTTCTTCTACATACGTTGTTATATTGGCATATGTTATTGACTTGTTTTGTTGTAGAGAGATCTTCTGCCATAATAATTTACCAGGAGGTTTTCCAATGTTACCTGTACAAGTTAACATTAATATGTCCCCTCCACGAATGTATATTGGAGATTCCAAGATTGTGAGAGCTTTTAAATAACTTAGAAGTGCAGGAAAGGATGCACTGCTATTTTGGTTGGTTCTCGTTGAAGTTTTGTTGGAATCACGGAAGATATATGAGGTAGGGGTTACTTCTGTCTCCGTTTTCTTTGGTGAAACAATGAAACTTGAAATACCATCCGGCATTGAGGGAGAAGCTGAAATAGATTTCTCCAAAAATGAATAAGTGACTACAAAAAATGATTGTTAAAATAACACAACATCGTTTACTAGCCGTAAATATATTTTTGGCGAATTATGATATTTTTACAAGGTAAAGTTACTCTTTTTGTCGGATTGGACTTTAGAAATATACATTTTCAATTTGCAGATTAAATGCACACTTTGCATATACAACCCATATATGTTTCCTCTGCTTTTTAACTTTAAATTTGAATGTTTATTTTAACAAATTTTAAGAAAACAATCAGATAAAACCTCTCGATTATACTGTCATATACTGATGGACTCTAAAAACGCAACATTTGATCATTCAAATATGCATTTCTTGTAAAATAAATGTATGAACATATATTACATTCATTACTTCATTGTCTAAAAAAAGTTTGCAGCCGAAAGTAGAAAAGATTACGTCATGTTAAATGCTCAAATCATGTGGTACGCAAATAAACCCTAGTTTTCCCTTTATCAATGCATGTGTCACCGTCGAAAGCAACGCTTAAACGACTGACAGAAAAGGCCGTCAGTTCTGTTGGGTATGTTTTGCGTTCTGTTTTGTACCTTCTGACCTACTTTGGCTTCTGTCCCACCCATTACAGCGTGTTTTAGCAATTATACGGCTGAAACGTTAGAGCTTCTAATGTTTTTGCTGCAGAAAATCATATCGTCATTTCCAGTTGTATTCATATTTTTGTTTGATGTATTTTTAATCAGGGAACTCTTGGTGTCCATTAAGATAAACTCATTACCTTTTACTAATATCCTGGTCACATTGGATGTATCACTATCATTGTCATTGTAGTAAAGTTTACACATATAGTCCTTTTCATCTGTGCATTTCAGTTTGTGAAATGTCATTGTTGCGTTCGTTGACGTTGTTGTTATATTTGTCAGTGTCACTCTACTAGAAAGATACGTCCCTAGCGGGAGTAGCTTTGCCGTTTTCCAGGGGATAAATATTGCTATTGGCATCGTAACATTATCAAAATCTTCCGTTATGTTTTTTGCATTGATTTGTACACTCAACATCTGTTCTCCCTTTTCAAGGAAGAATGAGCACGTCAGATGGGTATCATTACTCCCAAGAAGTCCCGTAATGTTTTGATTTATCGAAACCTTCGCAGCTAGTGTTCCTGCAACAAAGTGATATAACTTAAATGAGAATATTTATATAGGTGAAGCTTTTTTTTCTGATGTTTCTCTTATATACTCAGAGAAACAAACGCATCAGTTCGGTTCACATGATTCAAGACATTTCAATAATTATTAAATTTGCATCCCATTTATATTTTCTTATCCTGCTAGAGAAATAATAAAGAAATGTTCATACTAAATCCAGGGACATTGGAAAAATAAAGTTTTTGTATTTTTGTAGCTAATAATCTTTTCAAAATATCTTATTCTTCTGTTAAGAACTACAAACAAAAGCATTTGCTACGTTATTAAAATCGTTTAGTATAGTTATAGAAGAACGTTATACGGCGATTCCACATTTATATAAGTTGAAGCAAGTTCTATATCGAGATCTGGATTCAAAACTGTTATTACAAATTTTAATACATGTAGATTTCCATTAATAAATTTTGTTTTCATGGATGTGTTCCTTTGATAATTTGCCTCTAAAATTGTGACCGACTTTTTATAATAAGCTACTTCTAAAATTAAAACAAAAATAATCAGCTACGTTTAATTGAAAACCTTCTGTCCAACTTACATGAAACATTACCATGAGGTAACAGACTCAGTCACACTCAGCAGTACATGAATAGTTCTCCGAGATCCCAACTCTCGTCAGGAAATATCTCGATTAGTGGAACCATGTTGAACAAACAAAACACCGGAGAAATGCATTTCAAGTAGATCACACAATTCGCACAACCATATAACAAACAAAAAGACAAACACCGGCAGAACAACAGCAAAAAGGAATTTGTATTTATAAATAAAGGAAAATAAAGAATTGTACATTTTCTGCTGAAATTTAATGAAAACAGTTTAAAACAAAGAGTTGTAGGATATTTACTATTACTAATGTGATACAATTTGGCATTGTTTAGACTTTCAATATATCTATAGCAATGTACAGGCTTATTAGAAAATTGTATCCTCTAAGACTTATGGTACCTCTGTACCTACACTGCCACAGTGGTAGTAAAACATGCTTCTGGAATACCCTTTATCAGGTAGGATAATGAGAAACAACTAAATATGTCTCCCTTAAACATACGTACACATGTCTTAGGGATAAAACATTGGTTAGTCCGTGAGTCCAAAATATATGTTACATGGGTTCTATCTTGCGTTTTAGTGGACGCACACTCTTTTTCGGCCGAACTTCTGCGAGGAAATTAATTGAATTAGTATGTTTTAACAAAATGTATTCACAATTATTTGTGAGGAAATAATTTTTAATGATTTTAGGTGAAAAACATACAATTCACAATGTTTGAGGAAATGGTTATGAAATGCTATTGGCATCTTAACATTATATTTGTTAAAATATTCAATTCGCAATGTATTTCTTCACACTTAATTAAATCAAAGCTTGTTTCAGTCGAAATATGCAATGTCTTTGTTATATATCAAGTCTTATTATACCTTACATTATATAGTAATTATACGATTGGCTAATACGGAATCACGTGTCATAGTTTAATTTCGATGTTTTTCCAAAAAATGGCAGGAGCGGTGAATAACCACGACAAATTGAAGCCTCCATCAAACAACCCTATTATTCCCCGGTGAATAACCCTTGTCGTACCTCAATGATAACGAATTAACACCCTTTAAAGTATGACGTCACATAACGTCAGATAAACAAAAACATATATGGCAACGGCCATGTTGGAACCCCAAGTTACGAAGAAACAAGATCAAGCAAGGCTTGGAAATGCATCTAGTACCGAGGATATCTCTTGTAAACGGCCCTTTTCAGGGCCATCTATATTTTACAGAAAGAGTCTACCTTTGTTGTACATACTGTAAATTTTTAGATACAAACTAATTTTCTACCGTAACGTCGTAAGTGTTTTGACAATCTTTTTTCTCTCTGGTAACGGTCTTCGCGCTAAACCACACGCCCACCAGCCCAGGCTTGTAAAACTTCTGTCGGGCCTGTAAAAATCATCTCCACAGTCCAATATAATCTTCTTTTTTTATTATTTTCTTAAAATTCAGCTTCTGGCCTTTAAATTCAAAAGTCTATTGTGGCAATATTTTACACTCAATTGTTTGTTCGGTATAATAAAACAGTTATGGCCCATTTAGCCGTTCATTTTTATCATGGCTTATTGATCGTATAATGTTCGTCGTTTGTTAATTTTCTAAGTTTTTATAAGTATTATTGCAAGTGTCTCTTGTTTGTATACACTTGAATCCGACTTTTGATGTCTTTTTCTGTATGTGTTGTGACAGTAATCTTTTTCATGTTGAATAGGAAACAAAGTTTAACGAACAAAAAAAACTTAAATACTGTGTTAGGTTAATATTTTGGAACGACTTGAAACATTAATTGTATCTTAAAAATGAAAATGACACTATATGAATTGTATGCGTCCGTAGCGCTTGTTTGAATATACCTTCATCAGAAACGCTCAAAACCGAATATTTTGAAAGCCAAGGATGTATAAGAACCGAAACAATTGAAGAGTTTTATGACCAAAAAAGGAACTAAATATAATAGCCAAATACATCTTAGGTTCACTTTGCCTGAGGCAGTAGGAACCTTAATTTCTAAATAATTTATCCTTTTATAAACGGAGAATTTATGAATGTTATGTTATAAATCATGTCATGATGATACCTTTAGTTAATATGCATAAAGAAATATCTTTCTATATAGAACTTATAAAAGGTCCATAATTCAATCGACCGAAATAAAATTTAAACTTATTCGTCATTGTCCTGTACAATTCTATAGATTCCAAATTTAGACGATGTCTCTTAACACACACAAATAGTATCTTTAAAAGTTTTACTTTCCATACGGTCTTTTTTTTTATTCATATCGAAGTTTCCTTATGACAAAAAGTGCAGCTTCACTTGTCCTGCTTATGTATGAAACTCGTGAAAAAAAACCAAAGTCTGAATTTTTCCTGTAGTTATTGTAATCGTTATTTTGCAATGCGTTGTCAAAATATCAGATTGTATCGGGTTCAATATTCCACGCTAGCACCATGTCATTACGTGAGTTATGATAATGAACATAAGAATATCAAACATGATCGTGGACTAAATGTTTAGATTGAAACAATAATGCGTTGGAAGACTTAATAGTGTATTATATATTACCTGTTTGATATGAACTTCATTGAGCAGAAAAAGTGTCTCTGGACTAAAAAATGGACGAAAGATACCAGAGAGACAGTCAAACTCATAGATCGAAAACAAACTGACAACGCCATGGCCAAAAATAAAAAGACAAAGACAAACAGACAAATAATAGTACAGATGACACAACATAGAAAACTAAAAACTAGGCAACACGAACCCCACCAACAACTGGGGGTGATCTCAGGTGCTCCGGAAGGGTAAGCAGATCCTGCTCCACATGTGGCACCCGTCGTGTTGCTTATGTTATTACAAATCCGGTAGTCTAATTTGGTAGGTCACATTCGTGAAAAGGGAAGGGTATTGTATTTACGACATAAGGAACATATCCGATATCATCTGTGAAACGGTTATTCCATAACGGTCAACCAACTCGTGATGGCGTCCGTAAAATTTACGAAGGGATGATTTCAAATTCACCATTTTGAACTCTTGGTTAAATAGCTTCCTTGTGAGTAGCAATCCTCTATCAAGGAAATCATGATAGGAAATACAAGCCCGGGAATATCGTATCAATTGGGAGATATATACTCCGTATGCAGGCGCTGCTGGAATGTTGCTACATAGAAATGGAAAGTTCACAATTGGGAAGCTGAAATCATCTCTTTTGTCGACTAACCTTCAGCATTCATTGAAAATGGACTAAAAAATGGGCCAACTATATTTAACATTTGAGAGAGTTTTAACAGAGCATCTTAACTCTATACGTTAAACTTTACGTGGGGATATGCAACCTATGAGTTGCTATAAATTATACTGTACAATTACAACATTTGTGAGCTTGCATTTTGTGCCTCAATAACGCTGAAATTGTAAGAAACTTCAATAAATACAACCAAAGATCTTTATACTTTTTTTCTTACAAATTCAGAGCTCCAAAGTCGGATTAATTTTATAAAATAATGTTTTTTTTTTCTAATTAGAATTTGTTTGCAACTTTAACTGAACGACAACGACGACGACAGCGTCGTTATCGGGACCGCAAATGTTTTTATGTAACATCTATGCAAAAAGTATAATATATAAATCATTAGGTGCATACAAAAAACATGGATACCAAACATCTAAAAGGAAGTATTTTCGAAAATTCCAAAAACAATCGGACAAGGTCATTTTTTTTTTTTTTTTTTTTTTTTTTTTTTTTTTTTTTTTTTTTTTTTTTTATTTGTGTTATATCTTTTTTACGTCATTTCAATTGCATTTAGAAATATATTATCAGGAAATATTATTTCAAGTATTAGTCTGCTTTCTCTCAAACCACAATACCATATATTAATGTCAATAGAGTAAACGGATATATGTAATTAGAATTACCCTAAACAATTCAACAAAAACATTTGAAAGGTCTACTAATGCCCACGCATATTTTGGAACCAAATTAAAAACGTTATAGATTTAAAACATTATCTTTTAACGTCATAAACAACAATGACAATAAAACTGAAACATCCTTATTCGAATATTATTTCAAATCTTCCTGCAGTATATTCGAATGAATAAAATCAACTGCATTTAGTTAATGAAAACGTCCCTCTCCTTTTTTAGTCTGTAAATTAAAAAGATACATGTCTTCTTTATTAAAAGAAATAATGATTCATGTTAAAAAGTTAAGGAATATATTTCATCACAATAAATTATTCCCCTAAATTTTAAGTTCATTTTAATACTGTTTCTGTTTAACACCAATTTAGTATCGCTTGCATATTTACATATGAAGTATATAACTCCAAGTTGAAACCATTTTCAATTGCTTGATTTAATGAACATGAATTCCTTCATAGAGGACTGCTACGTTACAACATGCACGGTAAACTTTCAAGTTGTACGTATACGTCAGCCACTTATGACGTCATCATCATTTTGATGACTGTTACAGAATATCTTATCATAACTGTTTCATAAATGTTTATTTATGCATTCCTGATCTTTAGCAATACTGAATGCAATTTGTCGCCGGATTTGTACATGCTATGAGCATGCTAGCTCGAGCCATCAGTAAAACAAGTACAACTTTCTCTTAAGTTGCACTTTGATTTCACCATCAGGTTTTGGATGGGGTTAAACTTGCTAACACTTCGGTTTTCTGTGAAGTGTTTGATGGACTTGAATTATTTTGATTAACTTCTCCCGCGTTTTTTTGCAAGTAAACTGACAGTGCAGACCCTCTACCATGCCTTTCATTTAAAAATAAACCATAATGATCTTATATTGATAATTAATAAGTTACAAACTTACCCGTTAAATGTCTAAAGATTACTTGTAGCATACAAATATATAATACAATGTGTTCTATTCCAATCATCTCTGCCAGGAAGTTAGTGCTATTCGTAGATATCGTCAATAACTAATTGTGGGTCATAGTAACGTTTAAATACATATATAAAATATAACACAAGCATTGGCTTTCAATTTCTGGTATAGATTTAGGGCGTCAGTTAAGGTGGGCTTGGATTTTGTTTTAATTCTATTGTAACAATAATTCAATATAAAATATGTAATCATTAAAAATATATTGTTTACAACAGATAACTGTGTGAAATTAAAACATTTACTGTGATGAAGATGTCCTTTCAAAAAATTATTTGTTTTTTCTTATAGTGAGTGTATTTTTTTTCTTCATACGGAATGATGTTGGTTATTTTGAATTTTGTGTTTTGAATCAGCAGGCAATGATTTGTAAACTATTTGAAAAAAGTGAAAAAAAATACAAAAATTACGAACTCCAAGGAAAATTCAAATCGGAAAGTCCCTTATCAAATGGCAAAATCAAAAGCTCAAACGAATGGAAAACAACTGTCATATTTCTGACTTGGTACATGCATTTCCTTATGTAGAAAATGGTGGATTGAACCTGGTATTATAGCTCTCTTAACCTCTCACTTGTATGACAGTCGCATAAAATTCCATTATATTGACAACAATGTGTGAACAAAACAAACAGACATAAAGAGGTTGGAAGATATGCTTTATTACTGTGTTTACATTTTCTTCATAATGTTTAAGTTGCTGACCTACTTCAATTTATACAGAAACAAATGTGTATGCATCACATCCTCGTGAAGCTATATTCACTGTTCCTTCCGAAATTTCATTATCTGTACAACTAAAGTTTTGAATCCACTGTTACAAAAACACAATTAAATCAATGCAACCCTACAGCTATTTTGTCGAATAATATCAGTCACAAACTTTTCTGACTAGTTTGCATTCGGAAAGATGTTACGGAGAAACGATCTTTTCTAAAACTTTCCTTTGCCAATATAAGTCTCGATGCCATCAATGTAGGCAATATCTTTTATCAGAAATCAGTTCAGTCAAAAATACATCCCTACTTTAAAGATCAGCCTGTTCTACACATATTGCTACTAAAATTTTCAATTATAAACATATGTTGCCGGATATATCAATATTGACGACTTCAAGTCTAAACGTCCTGATTGCACCTGTGCTAGTTCACTATTTATATAAAATCCGGCTTGCTACATTATTACTGGTGACTAGAACATTGTCAACAACATTTCTCCTCGAAAAGTGTAAACCATAGGACCGAAATACTGTGAGCCTTAACCCATAAATTGGAAACATAATCTTTAATCTGTATATGCTACAACAAAATCAGGTAAAAAAGGTGTCATTATCACCACTGTCAAAATGTTTGGATTTTGTAGGCTACATGAGTAGGTAAATATCACTGACATGTTCATTAGATCTACCAGGTCAAGCCATACTTAAGCTATTAATAGCTCGAGTGCTATAAATATATCTTATCGACTAAAACTGCCAAGGCGTAATAATTATCTCAAAGAGTACAAAATATTATAATTGAAATAAAGATTGACAAGTAATAAAATTGCGATAAATGTAGTTTGACAATCTGTATTTCAATTATAATATTTGTACTCTTTGAGATTATTTGACGACAAAAGGCTGAATTATATAGATCATCTTCCTTTGGCGTCCGTCCCCGATATACACACCCAAATAGGTTGTATCTCTAATTGTTAAAGTTGTTCTTGACATATAGTTATAATTGACATTTCTTCATGGATCGAAACTGTTTCAAGTTTGTTATTTATTAGATTGTAATATACTAATATCTTATGTTTATGTCTTTTTCACAGCTATAGGTACTTCTTTATCTCGAAAAAAAAATATATATATATATACATTTAGTTAATTGCCATGCAGTATATATTTTTTTATTTTTTAGTAGAAAAGGGCATATCCTCAACTTTTAGAATCGTCAGCCTTTTGTCGTCAAATAATGTGCACTTTTTTTAAACTATGATAAAACTAGAGGCTCCAAGGAGCCTGTGTCGCTCACCTGATATTTTTTTTTTTTTTGCAATTGATGCATGAAATAATGCAACCGTTATGCTTTTGCTTTAGTTTCAGAGATAAAACTGCATTTTACCCTTATGTTCTATTCTTAGCCATGTCTGCCATGTTGGTTTGCAGGCAGGGTCATCGAACATATTTTTTAAAGATACCTTAATGATGATTGTGGCCAAGTTTGGTTAAATTTGTCTCAGTTGTTTCAGAGAAGAAGACTTTTGTAAAAGATTACAAAAATTTATAAAAAAATTGTTAAAAATTGACTTTAAAGGGCTATTACTCCTTATGGGGTCAATTGACCATTTTGGTCAAGTTTGACTTATTTGTAGATCTTACTTTGCTTAACATTATTGCTGCTTACAGTTTATCTCTTTCTATAATAATATTCAAGACAATAACCAAAAACTGCAAAATGTCCTTAAAATTACTAATTCAGGGGCAGCAACCCAACAACGGGTTGTCTGAATCGTCTTAAAATTTCAGGGCAGATAGATCTTAACCTGATGAACATTTTTACCCATGTCAAATTTACTCTAAATGCTTTCCTTTCAGAGATATAAGCCAAAAACTGCATTTACCCCCTATGTTCTATTTTTAGCCATGGCGGCCATGTTGGTTGGCAGGCGGGGTCGTCGGACAAATTCTTTTTAACTAGATACCCCAATGATGATTGTGGCCAAGTTTGGTTAAATTTGGCCCAGTAGTTTCAGAAGAGAAGATTTTTGAAAAAGATTACAAAAATTTACAAAAAAATTGTTAAAATTGAATATGAAGGGCAATAACTCCTTAAGGGGTCAATTGAAAATATTGGTCATAACGACTTATTTGTAGATCGTACTTTGCTAAACATTATTGCTGTTTACAGTTTATCTCTATCTATAATATTTAAGATAATAACCAAAAACTGCAAATTGTTCTTAAATTTACCAATTCAGGAGCAGCAACCCAACAACGGATTGTCTCATTTGTCTAAATATCTCAGGGCGGATACACCTTTACCTGATGAACAATTTTACCCCATGTCAGATTTGCTCTTAATGCTTTAGTTTCAGACATACAAGCCAAAAACTGCATTTTACCCCTATGTTCTATTTTTAACCATGTCGGCCATGTTGGTTGGCAGGCGTGATAATCGGACATATTTTTTTTAACTTAACACACTAATGATGATTGTGGCCAAGTTTAGTTTAATCTGGCCCAGTAGTTTCAAAGGAGAAGACTTTTGTAAAAGATTACAAAAATTTACGAAAAATTGTTAAAAATTGACTATAAAGGGCAATAACTCCTTCAGGGGTCATTTGAAAATATTGGTCATATCGACTTATTTGTAGATCGTACTTTGCTAAACATTATTGCTGTTTACAGTTTATCTCTTTCTATAATATTTAAGATAATAACCAAAAACTGCAAAATGTTATTAAAATTACCAATTCAGGAGCAGCAACCCAACAACGGGTTGTCTAATTTGTCTAAATATCTCAGGGCGGATACATCTTTACCTGATGAACAATTTTACCCTATGTCAGATTTACTCTAAATGCTTTAGTTTCAGACAAATAAGCCAAAAACTGCATTTTAACCCTAGGTTCTATTTTTAGCCATGTCGGCCATGTTGGTTGGCAGGCGGGGTCATTGGACACATTTTTTTAACTAAACACCCTAATGATGATTGTGGCCCAGTAATTTCAGAGGAGAAGACTTTTGTAAAAACTTACAAAAATTTAAGAAAAATTGTTAAAAATTGACTATAAAGGGCAATAACTCCTTAAGGGGTCAATTGAGAATTTTGGTGATGTCGACTTATTTGTAGATCTTACTTTGCTGAACATTATTGCTGTTTACAGTTAACTCTTTCTATAATAATATTCAAGATAAAAACCAAAAACCGCAAAATTTCCTTAAAATTACAAATTCAGGGGCAGCAACCCAACAACGGGTTGTCTGATTCGTCTAAAATTTTCAGGGCAGATAGATCATGACCTGATGAACATTTTTACCCAATGTCAGATTTGCTCTAAATGCTTTAATTTCAGAGATATAAGCCAAAAACTGCATTTTATCCATATGTTCTATTTTTAGCCATGTCGGCCATGTTGGTTGGCAGGCGGGGTCACCGGACATATTTTTCAAACAAGATACCCTAATGATGATTGTGGCCAAGTTTGGTTAAATTTGGCCCAGTAGTTTCAGAGGAGAAGATTTTTGTAAAAGTTAACGACGACGGACGACGGACGCTGGACGCCAAGTGATGAGAAAAGCTCACTTGGCCCTTCGGGCCAGGTGAGCTAAAAAACGTGATAAAGATTAAACTCTATGCTCACATCAGAATGCGTCAGATATCTTTTTCAAAAGATAGTACTTGTTATTGTTACGTTGGCAAGACGTGTTTTTTCAACAATCGGTATTCCCATAAGACGTAATTGTGCTCCTCATCCGTTAAATCATGAGTCAGACTTCATACAGGAACTTCTCAGCCTTTTCAAAAACGAAGCATACAAACTTCGGTCTCTTTCTTGTTGTCTATAGAAGTTGCACAGTCGTGTATTACACTTAGTATACTAGTTGTGTCTCACAGCTATAGTGTGCTGTGTTTTCTGTTGTTTATTGATAATTTTTTTTGCAAGACACAACTAGTATACGTGGCAATAATGAACTAATTATAGCAAAAAGGTTAAAACGGTCTGTAACAAGTGTTGTAATTTAAAAAATTTTAGAAGACAGCCAGCAGTAAAAGTTTTATTTTTATTTTTTGGTTAAGAACAGATGAAGTGAAATGAAAACAAAGTCTTGGCAAATGACTTTTAGAAGGGACTTACCATACGTTATAAATTTGGTTCTAATTGAAACCCTGTAGTACTGTAAATTCTTCTAATATTCTTATGACTTGGATTTTATTGTTAATTTCAATTAATATACCAGAAAAATATAGATTATCATGCTCAATTAAAGAAAACTCCTACATTGTTTCTTAAAATGCTAGAAAGTCACTATCAACTTCGAAGAATACTACCATTTCCTGACAAACTAAATGCAGTAAAAATGTAGACTTAAACCAATCCAATTAAATTCCATTATCCGTTTCTTTTCAAAATACCCCCACGAGTGACTGGGGAATAGAAATATGGTCACCATTGGTCTTCCTCCGACCAGCAGTAAAACCCTTGCTAAAGTGGGGCGTCCGTTTGGCTGTGCAGGATGTACAAATTTTCAGCCACGTCCGGTCAGAAGGGGGACGTTAAATCCGATGCCTCGTGTAAAGAGAGTGCCACGCTCTTTACACGTTAAGAACCCTTGCAACAACTCTTTGAGGGGTCCGTAGGTGACCTGTTGCAAGGCAAAATTTCTGTCCCTATCCAATATATCCTCATTTCCCGTGGCAGTCTAAATTTCTCCGAACTTAATCCCGGACGCCCCTCTTACAGAACCTACCTATTGTATTTATTGTTAATTTGTTCTCGTCCTGAATATGCATGAAATATTTGCCACTGGACGTTAAGCAACCAACAATCAATCAATCTTTTCAAAATATGTTTTGTAGCTCTTTTGGTGAAGCATCAAATGTTAGTCTCATAATTAGATTTTCGTTCATATGATGTTTCCTTTAACAAACATGTAACAAAAGGACATTTAACATTAAATATAGTGCTTACAGTTGGATCCCTGAAACTGTTTTAACTCCCGTTAATCATTGTATTCCACAATTTTAAAAGATGTGAGCATAAGTGTAAAAGTATGACCAATAATACATTTCTCAAGTACTTATGATTAAAACCAATTTTTGAAACAACAATAAATCAATCATGTATGGTAATAAACTCGTCATAGATACCAGGATTCAAATATTGTATTTCAGACGCCAATTTCGTCAATAAGACTCATCAATGACACATGAAAATAAAACAAAAGTGGACACACTGAAATGTCTCGCCTGTTTTAGTGTTCATAATTAAATTAATGCTGAAAGTAAAAAAAATAAGTTTATTTAAGCTTTACATTAAATTAACATTTTAATGATGAATGAACATGAAGTCAAGGTGAGATAAGCCCTATCAGACAAACATGTAGGCCGTACAATCATTCCATACACCAAATTTATTTAACATATATTGCCTAAAGTATCTTAGAAACAAACCTCATTGAGGAAACTGAACTTTGACCAATGAACCATAAAATGAGGTCAAGGTAAGATGACACCTGTCAGACAGACATATACACATAACATTCATTCCATACAGAAAATTTTATGAACTTATCACTTATCTGCCAGTTGGAAATGTGAACCTTACGATCATTCTATACATCAAATATAGAAGACCTATTGGTGATAGAATTTGAGATATGGACTTTATCATGAAAACTAAATCTTGTTCACTGATCCATTAAATAATGTAAAGGTCAAATGAAATATGTCTGACAGATATGTGAACCATGCAAGGTACGCACATGCCAAATAAAGTCAAATGACTACTAAAAGCAAACTTTGAAATTTCTTATGAAATAATTTTTCATCTAGATTTAAGGTTCATCAGAAGGGATTGACAAATATGGCCATTTTTTTTTTATTTCCTCTTGAGTACAGACAAACCTGTGCACAAGGAAAAGTTTTAAGGCATTGCAGAAACTGGATAAATATTTGTCAATTCCTTGAGATGAACCTGAAAGACCCCCCCACCCCAAAACAAAAAAACAAAAAAACTAAAATTATCTTCAATCTTTGATCGAAATATTGTAAAAAGTCATATTTTCATATTATCTATTTATCTATTTATGTTGCTATGCTAAAATATTTTTTATTTATCTCAATACTTATCTTATTTCATATGTATCAAAAATCAGTAAATGTGATTCTGTTGTGCAAACAAAATTTCAAAAGTTCTTCAATCTGTACATATTCAGCCAATTAATCTTTATGAAGGGACTGGAGTGAACTGTATTCTGTGTTAAACATTCATGCATGAGTGACCTTATTTTAACATTTTCACACCTTCCAATGTTTTTGTTAATCACGGTTTAGTAATGATCCCTTAAAAGTTTTTATTATTTATTATCATTATTAATGTTGTTTAAAGATTTTTATAAAATAATCTTTTTCAATGTAAGTAATCAGCAGTTAAATAATAAAATACATTCCATACACCAAATACAGTTGACCTATTACTTATAGCATCTGAGAAGAAGACCAAACAACAGAAACTTAACATTGACCAATGAACCATGAAAATAAGCTCAAGGTCAGATGAAACCTGTCAGACAGACGTGCACACCTTACAATCATTCCATACACCACATATAGTTGACCTATAACTTATAGTATCTGAGAAGAGGACCAAACAAGAGCAACTTAACATTGACCAGTGAACCATGAAAATGAGGTCAAGGACAAATGACACCTGCCAGACAGACATGTACACCTTACAATCATTCCATACACCAAATATAGTTGACCTATATAGTGCTTATAGTATTAGAAAAACAGACCAAAACAAAAAAACTTAACATTGACCAATGAACCATGAAAATGAGGTCAAGGACAAATGACACCTGCCAGTCAGACATGTACACCTTACAATCATTCCATACACCAAATACAGTTGACCTATTGCTTATAGTATTAGAAAAACAGACCAAAACACAAAAACTTAACATTGACCAATGAACCATGAAAATAGGTCAAGGACAAATGACACCTGCCAGACAGACATGTACACCTTACAATCATTCCATACACCAAATATAGTTGACCAATGGCTTATAGTATTAGAAAAACAGACCAAAACACAAAAACTTAACATTGACCAATGAACCGTGAAAATGAGGTCAAGGTCAGATGAAACCTGCCAGCCTGACATGTATCCCTTATAATCATTCCATACACCACATATAGCTGACCTACTGCTTGTAGTATCTGAGAAACGGACCTAATCACGTAACTTTAACCTTGATCACTGATCCATGAAATGAGGCTGAGGTCAGGTGAACCCTGTCTGATGGACATGTAGATGTTGCAAGGAACCCATATACCAAATATAGTTATCCTATTACTCATAATAAGTGAGAAATTTACATAACAAAAAAACTAAACTTTTTTTTCAAGCAGTCGCTGAACCATGAAAATAAGGTCAACGACATTGGACATATGACAGACGGAAAGTTCGTAACATAAGGTATCTGCATACAAAGTATGAAGCATCCAGGTCTTCTACCTTCTGAAATATAAAGCTTTATACAAATAGTTTACGCTGCCGTCGCCGACGCCGGATAGTAATACCTATGTCTCACTTTCTGCGACTTTCGTCGCAGGCGAGACAAAAAAATTAAAAAGACCAACAATAAGTACGAAGTTGAAGAGCATTGAGGACCAAAAATTCCAATAATGATTTTGCCAAATACAGATATGTGATCAATTTGAAAAGTATCTTTCTGTGGCACTTTCATATTTATTTCTAGAATGAGATATCAGACATGACAAGAAATAGACGGATAAAAAAATGGACGAAATGGGTCAATAGAACTCTATAAAAGCAATAAAACTTTATGTAGTTGTGCATTTTTTTATTTCAAACATAAATAATTCACAATGATGGATTCTCTCATACATGTATTTACAATGACAAATCATGAAATATTGACAAACCATTCCTCCCCAGAACTTTGTGTCTCCTTATAATTTACCCTGGTCTCAAAGAGTTTAGTAAACAGTTAACTTTCACTGTCATTCCTCAAATGTCCTAATGTTCTAAAAATTAATTCAGTGTTTTTTTGAAGAGGACAACTTTTCCAGGTAATTCAAAATGATTTATTGTACATGTATCAAATTTCCAAAACTCAAAACTAATTGTGGAATTGGGACATTTAAAGAACTTTTGTCATATCTTCCCCAATCTGAGATATATTTCATTCATTCTACTAGCTCAACATGAAATAAAATGCTCTGTAAACTAAAGGCCAAAGAGAAACAAAAAGATAGCTTTAGCAGTATAAAACAAGTCTATCAAAAGTCAACTTAAAAAATGAAACACTTTGCCTTAGCAGATTTAACTTTGTGTTTAAGAAATTCTGATGCAAAATAAAAGTAATTCTGCCTACCTTCTTGATCTAGTCTTTTTTCAAAGTTTCAATACAAGCTAATTGTTTATTTTGTTTGGCCTATGCATTTTCATCACAAACAATCAATACAAATACAAGTGTCTGCAATCATCTAATACAATTCCCAGCAAAAATAAATAGCACTAGTAATATAAAAATATTTTTTTCTATACATAAAGCATGGAAATAAATGAGTTCACAAGTAAATTACTCAAGCACTTTTGATACTAATGTGAAAGATTAATAAATCATAACTAGTCATCGTGATATGATTAATGATACAAGTCCTTTCCATTATTAATGAGAGAATTTGCACAATTTATCTACTTATTCAATTAAAATAAATTCAAGGAACTCTAATAAAATAAAATCTTTGTGAGAAAAAAACAATTGTATTTGGTAAAAAAACATTATCTGCCTGCTTGCTATTACTTTTGAAAAACCCCTTTGATTATAACTTTACTGGGGAATATCGTGATCATTTTTTTTATGCAAAATAATACTAACTAAAATTAGCAGAAATGAAAAATAACTTTAACATGGTACAATTCAAAATAACAGACTTTTTTCTATAATTTTCTTAAACAAAACTTAACAGGTACTATTTCAAACTATTGAAAAAAGGGAATCCTTGACATCTTCATTTTTATAAAGTGTGGTTAGCCAAAACAGAATCTGCTTTAAACTAAAACAATCCATAATAAGAAACAGGACACAGCATTTCAAGATTTACCAGCATATTACATCTGAACATACAACTTGCAAATACTATTATCATCTACTTTGTGGAAGGCTATTTGATTTATCTAGTGGCTTACAGATGAATAAATTTCTTAATATGACCAAACAAACAAACAAACAAACATTCCATTATAATTCTCTTATTCTGTGCACAGCAGAGAGGTGATAATGACTATCTGATGATTAATTGCATATTGTTGTAATGATTTGATATAGGTCAACAGTCATATGCAATTACAATCGTTGACAATGAAATCATTTACTGACATATAAAGTGTTAATTCATAAGAATTAAAAGACTAGTTATTTGATAGCAATATTTAAAAAAAATAAGTCTTTGAATGGTAAAAATGTATTTTTAATAATTTCAATGTTAAATGCAACATTTTTAATGGTTTCGTAAACAGTTTTCTCACAAATCAGGACTGTTTTAGTATTGGTGAAAATCTTTTTTAAGCAGAATAAAAATTCTTAATTTGAGGCCTCACCTGAAAACTGTTACCATTTTAACATTATAACTACAACATGAAAGACAATCAGAGTACATTTTTTCCTTCTGTCTTTTGATTCTTTATTTTTAGGAGAATTTTAATTGAGAATAGGAGGGCCATCTGAAAATTGTTACCATTATATGCAAGTCAATATACTGTATCTATTTTAATTTTTTTTAACTCAAGATAATTGTAAAATTATACTCATCACATAATTTAATAGAAAACGTGTATGTTGGTTTGAACTAATTAAAACCTGAACAAATAACAATAACCTAAGTTATGTCATAAGGGATTACAAACAATGAACATTTACAAAGTAATTCTTAATATTGACTGGTTTGCTGAAAATCAAAGGGCTGTTACGGTTAAACCTACATGGTACCCAGGGAAGGCACTTTATCACCTGTAGAGGCAAATTAAGCATTTTTTCACAGTTGAGATTTCAAAGCACCTTTCCTGGACTCCATGAATGTTTCTATGGATCAGCCCTTATGTTGCTTACAATACAATTATGATTTTTAAGACCATTGCTTTAAATTTGCTATTTATGCATTTCAGGGTATAACATATGCATATTTTTTTTATGAAAATTTGTAAAATGTTGCTTTACCTACACAATATTAACATATATTATTATTTCAACCAGTATTCATAGCTAATAAAAAAATATTTATAACTTAAGTACAGTCATTGCATTCATTAACAAAGTTTTTATCATATATATATGGGTCTTCAACTTAAATTTTGTAGAGCTCCCCCTTTTTGATTCAACAGCTGACTTGAAAGATACAGCTCTAGGTAGAATTTATATTGAATTGACCATGTGGTCAGTTAGCTAATGTTTAAACATGGAGGTAATGACCAGAACTGGTTTCTAGAAGACATTTTCAAGCTGCTACAGTATTTCTCATCTTGATTATAAAATTGCTGTAATTATGCAAGAAATACTAAATCGCAGTAAATATAAAAGCAGCATTAATTTAAAATGAAAGAAATTATTGGTCATCTTTGTCTTAAGGGGTCTTAAATCATGCCTGACCTTAAGCTTACTACTTGTATTATAAATTGTAACCCTAACCTTTTTTTATCCTTACACTAAAACTTGTCTAAACCAAACTATAAACTAAACAGATCCCTAACCCTTAAGTCAAAGACAACCTAAAGAGATCACAGATTTTAAACAATGAATATGTACAAGATGAGGATATGAGCAAATCTGTGAACAATAACAATGTCCTGAGAATTAATTCCTCATGTGTCTGGTTTTTATGTCGTCGCAATGAAATTTACAGCTTTTTATTCCAATCGTCTTTTTTAGGCCACAAATTGGTAAGATTCCTGAAAATGATATCTGAAAAAGAAATAAAACGTTATAAACGTTCAAGAGCCTGTAGTTCAGTGGTTTATAGCAGTACTTGTTTTTCGTAAATTGTATTGTTTTAAACTAGGCCGTTAGTTTTCACATTTTTCATGTCAGGGTCTTTTATAGCTGACTAAACGGGATTAACCAAATAGGATTTTCTTATTGTTGAAGATTGTACAGTGACTTGTAATTGCTTATATCCATGTCATTTGAACATGGTGGATAGTTGTCTCATTGGCAATTACTGTTGATTCATTATAATTCGTGGCTACCAATTTTCATGGGTAAAGATAAACCACAAATTTAAATGTTCAAGTAGTACAAATTTTTTATAGGCTTGTTTGCAGATTTTGACAAAACCACGGAAAACAAATATGCACAAAAATACAATTATTCTTGTATCCAACCTTTGAGGGAATCATATTCTGAATAACTAATTAAAAATAAGCAAATCCAACAAATCATGAAATAAAGGTCAGTCACTAAAAATTTTCAGAATTTTGTTGTACTCTACAATAATGTCATGAATGTAGAGCAAAGGATGTCTGAGATACTGAACTACTTTTTTGTATTTTAATCTATCTTAGTAAATATTTTAATTTCACATATGGTGACATACCTGAGGAAAATGCAGAATACATCCTGTGTTATAAAAATTCATCTTGACTCTTTCGTACACATCTGGCTACTTTTTTGTTAAAAATAGTTCTATTTTCCCTCCATTCTTTCTGAAATTTTTAAAGAAAATATATCAGTAAGTACATGTACAGAATAAAAAAATTCAATTAACTTTCTAATTTTGGTGCTGATGTTTACAAATTGTGACTTATGATAAACAATTAATGCAGAATCATGGAACACATAAGAAATAAGTTAGATGTTAGAGCTATGTTTAAAAGTTGTTTTTTTTTATTTTCCATTCGTTCTTTGTCATAAGAGTTGTTAAATGATTTGGTGCATACATTGTTTTTTTCCAGAATCGGTAAATACCATCTTCCTTCAACATTTGTCTACTTTTAATATCTTCATTCATGATTTTTGCTTTTGCTCTTGTGCAGAGCGATTGCTGAATTTCTTACTAGTGTTGTTCCCATCCTGTTGTCTCTGGCTGCTAGTTGTCTCATTGGTAATCATACTACCTCTCCTTATTTTCATACACTTTGTGTGTACTGTACACGACCTGTCTTCTGTGTATAGTGTAAGCAAGTTGTGTGCTTTCAGAATAGCATTGAGCAGAATATATATGTGAGGGCTCCCTTAGCACATTTTTATCTATAATTCAATTTATATTTGCATTTTTCTCTTCAGGCTTTACAAAAGCATATTCTTTTTGAAGAATAACATTATTCTAGTTATTTAAGAAACTACTTAATTTGTTTAAGCTTATTTTTAGAGTCCAACTTACGGCAGCATCCACGTTAGCTGGTGATTCGTCATTAGGATCGGCCAACATTGATATTACACTAATAAGAATTGTCTCTACTGTATGAACTGGCAGCCATCGTTCTGATGCAGACTCGTAACCCCACTTGTCTTCACCGGCCTCGTGGAGAATTGAAATGCAAACAAGTCCATCAGGTCCAACTGAAAATGAAAATTTGCAGTATTAAGTACTAAATGAAAGCTAGTATTTGTGTCTGTTTTAACAATATTTAACATATGAGCTGCATTGGATAGAAATCAACCTTATTCAAATGAATATCAAAACATCTGTTAACTTATTCAGGGTTGAAAAAATCAATGCAGCTGATATTGTGTGAAAGTTTTTGAGTATGTACATGTATAATGTACTTCCAATTGTTGTTCATCTCTTTACATCTATGAAATGCTGCTGTGAGAAATTATTACCTGATATTTATAATACCAAACAGTTTTCCTTCTTACTTAATCTTGCAGATCACCCTCAAAAACAAAACATCTTCATACAAAAGGACCAGGTTCACTTTAAGCATGTTAAGCCAACAATGATGGCCTTGAACTTCAACTCTATCATAAAATGTCAAAATGGTCATAGTTTGGTTCTTTAATGGATCTATTTCAAAAGCCTTACAACTAAGTTAAACAAATCTCTTCTTAAAAGAGTACATTCTAGGCTTCAAAGTCAGCATATTTTGGATATATTGTCAAAATATAATAATTTTGTGCATTTTTCAGATTAATGGCTCGAGTAAACACTCGACCACAACCTACAATCCAAAACATTTCGCTACCAAAGATGTCAATGATATTGAATCCCAAGATACCAAAAATTTCTGGATCAGGGGTGGCAGCCTGGCAGCCAAAGATAATTATGCTAATAATCATGATAATTGTTGAAGAAATATTGATAAAATTCAACCAAAACTGACGTAACAACACAATAATGCATAATTAAGGGGTCATTACTTCGTCATTTATAATGAGATGTGCCAAAAAGAAGTGTAATAGTAATATCACAATTACTTCTATGTGAAATTACTAGTATATATAAAGGTCTGATTAAGTAAACATAAAAATTTTAGGGATAATTTTAACCCTTTGTGAGCTTAGTCCATTAGCCATTTCCAGTTTTCACTTGTTTATGATGTTAAGTGTGCTTATCAACATGTAAACTTACTGTTTGGGTGCCACATCTCTGATAAGAACAGCATTTTTGGAGGTTTCTGTGGATATTCTCTTGGAAATGTCAAATGAGCTTTGAAAACACCACCTTCTCTGTTAAAAGAAAAAAAAAAGACAAATCAATAATAATGAAATATTGGTTTTAACACTTAATTGGTCATATACAACAGTTTTACACAATTTTTGTTTTCTATAAAGAGTCTAATATAATATTTCGAAAGACATATTGTGAAGGAGGGAGCATAAAACATGTTAAAAGTTAGAATAGCTTGAATACAAAACAACATTGATTGTGACCCCCATGAAATCACTCTTTTATATGACATTAAATTTACCCTTTGCAGCAAAAAACAAAGTAAAAGGTATTTTTCTCTTATTAAACACAGCGTAGGACAGTGAATAGACACAATGATTACTAGTGGCTGCAGCTAAAGTTTCCATGCAATAACATCATAAATGATGCAATATTAATCAACAGATCAAAGTGGACTACAACAATAGGTCCAGAGAAAGTGATAAAGATGGCAATAAAATTTTTCCTGGATTTGGTCTGGTAACGCTTTACTACACAATGCAGGTTTTTGTTCCGAAAGTTGATGACAGGATTTTGTGTTATTATTATTCGTGAAAGCTAGTCTTTCAAAGTTTTTTTTGTAAATATCTGCGACACCATAGTATTCCCCAAAAACTGCAAAAGAGATAAATGCAGGCATTAAATATTTTGAATTATTTTTTGGTTTCATGTTTCAAATAACATTTTTCATAAATTTCTATAGTTTACAACAAAAACCATTACATATGACCTTCTTAATATAGTATCTTCATAGTCTTAGTAGTGTATCCTTTACAAACATGACTGATATAAAACCTAAGGTTCCTTTGTATAATTGGAGTCAATTGAGTATATTTCAAAAACATTACAATGTTTCATTTAGTATCTTTTTCTATTTGGTTTGGCTATTAAGACAAATTTTACCAAACCGATTGAATTATGAACTTTTAAATTCAATCAATGAAATACAAATTACACGACACATGCAGTGCAAACAAAAATTGCATGCTTACAACATGGATCTAAATTTAAGCTTACAATGGGGTATCTGGAGGACCATATATAACAACCTCCCACTTGTAAATGTCTTCATCATCAACCAGTCCTGCAGAGAATCCTGGAACAGGATTCTTTATCATATCTGAAAATAATCATATGCATACATTAAAATTTAAGATGTAACTTCCTACTTCTGTCACTATTTCAAAACTATGTGTCTTAAACAATATATATATTGGATATACATCAATAGGATAGTGGCCCTGGAAGTTAAGAAAGACATAACAGCTTTTATTCTTCTAGTGACCATCTAACCTTAAAACTTTACAACAATCAAATATCAAAATCAGTAATCATTTGCACAGAAAAATAAAATTGATACAAAAACAGCATTAAACATGCTAAAATCGTTTAAAAAAATTGTTTTAAAAATAACAGTGCTTAATGCATGCTGTTTGTTTTCTCACAGAGTATTAGATTTTTTCCAAAATTTGAAAAAGGTAATAAGTGTAACCAAGGATTTGTATAGCAAGTCTTACTTTTCCATTCCTTGGTGTAACTAACAAAACAAAAACACACAATACAATGAAATACAAAAAACTAACATGTGTGTTTCTACATTTTGCTCATTTTCCCCCTTAACTTTGATAGCTTATATCATGCTTTATACCCATTGCCAAGTACTTGATTTTTATATTTGTTCCTACATGTCCTATAACCAATTTCCAACCATCATATTAAGTTTTTAATTTATTTATTTATAACTTCAAAAAAGAATGGAAATCTTGCAAATAGACATGCATGTGTCCTAATAAATAGTCTGTTTGATTGGAATCTACTGTTGATTATTATTCGTGGGAAACCAATTTCACGAAATTCAATATTCAACGCAAAAACATACTTTTCAACAGGCTTGTATGTAGATTTTGCCAAACCCACGAAAGACGAAATAAATATCTCCAAAAAACAATTTTTCCTCAATCCACAAAAATCCTGAAAATAATTGAATCCACAGTAATTCATGGCACATTAGAGTATGTGCACTCAACTGCAATGCATTATTTCACACTGAAATTAACTCTCAAGAAGAAAATAATGTTAATCAGCCTTATTTTATTGTCATATAAACATACAATACAACAGCTTGTATGCATTTTTTGTACAGAACAATATGTATAAAAGAGATGAGGAAATAAATTTACAACATTGTTTATGTATGTCAAGAGTGCAATGACCTCAGTTCCATTGATTGTTTGTACATGTGTACCTGTCAAAAATTTGTTTGGATTAAAATCAATATCTAACTTTTGTTTGATACTTCAAAATTCTAAATATCTGTCACGTCTGTACTTTTAGAAGCCATATGATTAAACTACCAAGAAGTTGAACAAAGGACCTCTAGTAAAAATAAATACAAGGGAAATACACAAGAAATTCCTGGTTATTAACTGAAACAAAAATTGAACTGTGTATAGAAAATTTTATATCAACCCAACTGAGGTTCAAAATTAGGATCAAAGATTTCATACATTCCATAGCTCAATGTTTTCAGCAATTGCATGTTTAACTTTTGGTTAAAATATAAAATATTTCCTGCCACTTTTAGTACAAGATTTAATAATTAAAAGTGATTTTAAGTCTCCGCTAGTTTTACCAGAGGTAGATACATACTTAAGGACATTTAACTTTTGGTTTAAATGTATCACAATATTTTCAACTGTTTGACTTTCTGTATTTTTAACTTGTATTTCAATTCTGTTTCAATTTAGCTTTTGACATGTCTTTCATTGCATTTCCAATCAACTAATCCAATTATGTGCTTTAAAAGCATTTATCAGATCTAGACTTCACAGAATTTAGGACTGTCAGACATTTGCTCGAAAAACTGCAATCATTCATCAGACTGACTAAATATCAGTCAAACCAAGAAATCAAGTAAAAATCTGTTATCTGTAAAATTCAAAAATTAACTTGTTTTCTCTGAAATATTTTCAGATATAAATAATATATTCTATATGCAGTATTTATGCCATGCACAGTGGAAATAAACACAAAAAACCAAATGTTTACAAGAATTTTTTAATTCTTAATACTGTAAGTTCAGAAATATTGCAATTTTGACATGACAGACCCAAATGTGAGAATTATTATATTATTTTTGCAATTACAGGAAAAGATGCATACATACAAGTCATATTTCAGAATGTGAGTTCTCATTAAATTGAGATACTCACCCAGGCACAATATTTGTAAAAATAAAAACCTCGCTATAAATTTTGAATTTACATTAGTATACATTTGTAAGTGGTCAATTCTAATAGAAAAAGTTAGTTTTGAATAATCAATACTGAATAAAAATGATGGTGGGTACAAAAACAGTATTGAAACTTGTTTTTATTTTCATTTTGTCACCTAAGTAGTGTGAAACCTTTTCTTTTATCACTCACTAAATTGGCAAGTAGCCATTCATTTCAACTCCGCAAATGACTTACCCTTGGGAGTCGGGACCCAAAAATTATTAAAGGCTACGCTACATACTCCTGTCTGATTCATATTTTAGCCAATGTGGGTCAATTTTCAATCTTTCCTAAAATTTTCTCAGCATCAAAAAGGTTTTTTGTTTTTTTGTTCAGTTATGTAGATAAACTTTTTGAACATTGAGAAAAGTAAACTAGAGGCTCTAAAGAGCCTGTGCCGCTCATCTTGGTCTACGTGCATATTTAACTAAGGACACTCTCCAACATAGACAAGAATAGAATTCATGACAAAAATTCGGTTTTGTTGATCTTGTATTGCTGATCATTTTATCCTCACTAGAACACACCCGCGAAATCGCGGGCATTTAGAGCGTGGTTGAAAGTATTAAACTGTTGTAGGATGAATTTTTGGAAAAGAATTTATGACTGGAGAATTTCAGGAAAGGTATTAGAAGTCCTAGGTACTTGGATACAGAACAATTTTTTTAGCCCTCCCCCTTTTTTCCAAAATCCGTTATTTTTTGTTTTCTCTATATAATATATCAGTGACCGTTAAATAGTTATTGTATGTGTATGTTCATAGTATACAGAAAAACGCGAAAATAATTGTCCTGTCCCCAATTATCTATAACAAGAGTGCACACGCTGAAATGTCTCGCCTTCTTTACTAATCATTGATATTATGTTGATAGTCCTAAATATAAAGCTTTATTACAACTGTCACATAAACTTAACATTAACCAAGTAAACTAAACATTGACCAATGAACCATGAAAATGAGGTCAAGGTCAGATGAACCATGCTAGGCAGGCATGTACAGCTAACAATTCTTCCATACAACAAATAGAGTTGACCTATTGCTTATAGTTTAAGAAAAACAGACCAAAACACAAAAACTTAACACTGAGCAATGAACCTTGAAAATGAGGTCAAGGTCAAATAAAACCTGCGTGACTGCCAAATAGATCATAAAATATTTCCATACACCAAATATAGTTGAACTATTGCATATAGTATAAGAAAAACAGACCAAAACACAAAAACTTAACTATAACCACTGAACCATGAAAATGAGGTCAAGGTCAGATGACACCTGCCAGTTGGACATGTACACCTTACAGTCCTTCCATACACCAAATATACTAGACCTATTGCTTATAGTATCTGAGATATGGACTTGACCACCAAAACTTAACCTTGTTCATTGATCCATGAAATGAGGTCGAGGTCAAGTGAAAACTGTCTGACGGGCATGAGGACCTTGCAAGGTACGCACATACCAAATATAGTTGAACTATTGCACATAGTATTAGAAAAAAAGACCAAAACTCAAAAACTTAACTTTGACCACTGAACCATGAAAATAAGGTCAAGGTCAGATGACACCTGCCCGCTAGACATGTACACCTTACAATCATTCCATACACCAAATATAGTAGACCTATGGCATACAGTATAAGAAAAACAGACCAAAACACAAAAACTTAACTATAACCACTGAACCATGAAAATGAGGTCAAGGTCAGATGACACCTGCCAGTTGGACATGTACACCTTACAGTCCTTCCATACACCGAATATACTAGACCTATTGCTTATAGTATCTGAGATATGGACTTGACCACCAAAACTTAACCTTGTTCACTGATCCATGAAATGAGGTCGAGGTCAAGTGAAAACTGTCTGACGGGCATGAGGACCTTGCAAGGTACGCACATACCAAATATAGTTATCTTATTACTTATAATAAGAGAGAATCTAACATTACAAAAAATCTGAACTTTTTTTTCAAGTAGTCACTGAACCATGAAAATGAGGTCAAGGACATTGGACATGTGACTGACGGAAACTTCGTAACATGAGGCATCCATATACAAAGTATGAAGCATCCAGACCTTCCACCTTCTAAAATATAAAGCTTTTAAGAAGTTAGCTAACACCGCCGCCGCCGCCGCCGCCGCCGCCGCCGCAGCCGCCGGATCGCTATCCCTATGTCGAGCTTTCTGCGACAAAAGTCGCAGGCTCGACAAAAATTATGTGTAATCTTAAACAGTCCTAAACGGAAGTTTTGTCTACAACTTAAAAGTCCGTCCAATGACGGAAACATTATCCGGATGCCTTTATTTTTTCGTTTTCCTCCCAAAATAACCCAAACGAAATAATCATAAGTGAGGATGACAAATGCGACTATGCATGGTACCTATAGGATACAGAGGCAAGATGATTAATTTATTGTGGAAGGAAGATGGGCGACACACAAAATGAGGTCTTCTCATTTAATAGTATAAATTTAAGGGAAATCACTCCTATAAAGAGTGACAGTCTACTAACTATATCGGCAACATTTGACTTAATATAGATGATCTTGCCTAACTGATAATTTTTGTAATTTAATGTGTCCATTTATCTATTATAATTTTTATCATAACAGGCAAAATGCAAAAAAAATGGTAAAAATCTTCATTAAAGGACAATAACTCCAATAAGGAGAAGTTGGACGATTTCCTCCAAATTGTCTCAACTGTAGATCTTATCTTGCTGATCATTTTTGCTTATTTAAGTTTCTATCTATCTATTATAATTTTTAAGATACCTCTAATGAGGAGTCGACTGACGATTTTGACCATGAGACCTATTTGTAGAACTTGTCTTGCTGATCATTTTT